TAGATAGGAAATTCTGTGGTTCTGTGCTCCTAAGGACGATTGTGCCCCTACACATCTGGAGACAACTAGCCTGAGAGGTGCCAGAATTCCAGACTTTGTCATTTAAGCTTAATGGCTTCTCAGACCTAAGTGGATACGTGAAGCCCCTATGGGGAAAATCAGAAAGAAAAAACGCTTCATCATTTTTCTCCAAGTACTTCCCCACCAACTCCTGGAAAAAGCCTGATCGTTAAAATATTTGGAGCAAAAAAAAGCTATGCAAAATGTATGTTTAATTGCAGATGACTAATAGTGAAGAATGCTGCCCATCCCCCGACAGAGGAAATGAACTAACCAGGCAGAACGAGACACACATTCTTGGACAGAACGAATACGGGAATCTGTTTTACTTGACAATGCGTAGGGTTCTCAAGGACTTTTTCTTCTTTTTGGGGGGGGGAGGCAGAGGGAGTCAGAGGAGAAAATAAATGTTAATTTTTTAAAAATAAATTTTAAAGAAAAATATGTATGTCTGTTGATAGCCAGCCTTTATTCCCCAAATGAGTTTGAAAGACTATACATTATGTTGACAAGGTTTTTTCAGACCCCCACCATGCCCCATCTCCCCCCCCACTCCCCAGTACTTTTTCTAGGATACTTTCTCTTATTGAACTGTCTACAATATCAGAGCATCTCAGTTCTGGGGTGCTGAGGACAAGCAGAACCTTGGAGTCATAGATTCAGAGTTGGAAGGAACCTTGGAAATCACCTAGTCCGACCCCTTTATTTTGTCAATGAGGAAAACCAGGACCCAGAGAAATTAAGTCTCTTAAGGGTCCCTTACAGCTGTAGCTCTAGGCCAAGGATTTATCCAAGTTCATGTAAGAGAAAAAGAAGAGCTGGATTTGAACCTACATTCTCTGACTCAAAATCCAGAGCTCTTTCCACTTTGTCCATCAGGGGGATGTTATGAATGTATGTAGGTGGTCAATGAGAGCTGCCCAGGGGTGTTGGCCATGAGTAGACTGGATAGATAGATAGATGATAGATAGATAGATAGATAGATAGATAATGTAGGTAGGTAGTAAGTAGGTAGATAGAGCATTTATTAAGTGCTTACTGTGTGCCAGATTCTATGCTAAGTGCTGGAAATACAAATAAAAGTAAACAAGATGGTCTCTATTCTCAGAGAGCTGGAACAGGGGAACTGGAAAGTAAGGGGTTGGATTGGAGAGTGTACCCATTCAAGGAGTAAGGAGTTGAGGAGGTGGAAAAGTCCAGGGATTTGGAGTGAAGGACAGCTAGGTGGAGGAGTGGATAGAGCACTGTTCCAGGAGTCAGGAAGACTTGCATTCAAATCCAGCCTCAGACACTTACTGGCTGTGTGACCCTGGGTAAGTTACCTAACCCTGTTTGCCTCAGTTTCCCCATCTGTAGAATGACCTGAAGAAGGAAGTGGCAAAACCACTCCAGTGTCTTTGCCAAGAAAATCCCAAATAGGATCACAAAGAATCAGACACAACTGAACGACAACAACAGCTAGGAGTGAGGTCAGCCTGACCCTCAGGAAATGGGGTCCCAAGCCAGGGATCCACCCATCCAGAGAGAAGCCCCTCAGGTGGAGGCGCCAAAGCAGCACCTCATGTGAGATGTTGAAGATGTTAGTAGCTGAGGGTCCCTTTTACTAAATCTATTCATGGGAAGATAAAGGATTTACTTCTAAATAGCCATTAACCTACATCTTTATGGCTTTTTTTTTTCCTTAGGAGTATATTGGGGCTTTGGATATAGCAGCTGCTCAATAGATATCTCTACTCTCCAGCAGCTCGCTGTCTAGGAAGGAAGAAAACAGATAGGGACAAGACCTTTAATTTTTCCCACGTGAGCTAACTTTCTCTACCAATGCAGATTGGTGCTTGTTATGAAATTTATGATGTTAAAGATTGTTTAGAAGAGAGGTGTCAAACACTCAGTAGCCAGCAGTCTGAAACAGATTAAAATGTAATTGGGGGGAGCAGCTAGGTGGCATAGTAGATAGAATACCGACCCGAGAGTTAGGAGGACCTGAGTTCAAATCTGGCCTCAGACTCTTGACACTAGCTATGTGACCCTAGGCAAGTCACTTAATCCCAATTGCCTTGCCAATAAAAAAAAAAAGTATTTGGGAAATATTTAACAAAAATAAAAATGAAATAAAACATGGATGATATTCATAGGTTATAGTCTAAGTTACTATGGGATCCATAGGGATCCTTATATAAAGTGGCCCCCATTTCTGGGTTTGATGCCACTGGTGTAGGGAAAGGGGAGCAAAAGAGGGGGTTACATATGTGATCAGAGCTCTGCCTTGGGAAGGTCTGTGGTCTACAGGACAGATTTTTTTTTTAAAGGTAGGGAGGTTGAAAGTTAAAACATAGGAGAAATACTAAGAGCTGAGACATGTTAGGAGGTGATCACAATAGTCCGGGTGATGGATGAGCAGAATCTGACCCAGAGAAGTGGGAGTGAAAAGAAGAAGGCTCATTGGAGAGACTACAAAGGTGGACGCTAGATGGCTGAAGAGCTGATTGGATGTGGCAGTTGAGCAAGACATAAATCACAGAGGGTGGGGCCTTGAGACTGTCAGAAGATAGTAGAGTAGAATCACTACCATCTCATCAGCAGAAATAGGAGAAGGGATACAAAAAAATACACTTCCTTCTCTTCCTTCTGCCCTCCCTCCCTTTCTTGCAGAGGCAGGGAACTATGGATATGCAACTTTGCACAAAAGGGCAGACTTGGCCACTCTATTGATTAGTTTGCTGAAAAGCTCCCCTCCCATTTTTTATCTCTTATTACCAGCGATGGCTTGCTGAGTAGTGTGGAAGAAGGAGGGATATATTAAGAAATAAAGGTGATGAATTTTATTTTAATTAAGGGAAAAAAAAACAGAACTTGGAGAGAACTACAAGGTGGAACTGGTTTGCAAGAGATGGTTGAGTTGAGTATTGGACACATGGAGCTTGAGGTGATGGCAAGACACTCACATGAGGTCCAGCCAGCAGCTGGAAATCACAGGGCTTGGGGCTAGAGGGTCCATCACCAAATCCCTCGTTTTATAGATAAGGAAACCAAGCTTCCATTGAGCTAAATGATTTGTCCAAGGCCATATAACTAGTAAGTTTCAGAGCCAAGATTTGAAGCCAGGTCTTGTAACTGTAGGGTTGAAGCTTGAGAGTTTGGAGCTGAAAATAGAGATGGGGGGAATCACCTACATAAAGACTTAAACCATGGGCAAGAATGATAAAGGCAAGTGGAAGGGGAGCCAGCGATGGACAGAGCTTGAGGGAGTGGGGCCTCGAGGGGAGAAGGTTCATAACACCCAGTGGTATAGGGAATCAGCGGTAAGTAGATTCATGTGAAGGCCCCACTAAGGCTGCCTAGCTGGAATTTTTAATGGTTGTGTTTCTTTCTCTAGGAACACAGCAGCCCAAGCAGAGAAAGCAGATGGCAGAATTGTCATGGTTAAGGTTCTAAGATCCTGGTGGGAGAGAGCATTGCTAACATGGATGCCCAGGAGCTCGTCCTGGCTGGGTATGGAAGGCAGGTGACAGAATGGTAAAAGGGGGCAGGATGGAAGAGACACGGAGTCTGTAAAAAGGGAGAAGGCCAGGTTCAGGTCTGGTGACTTTAAAGAAGTCCCATGCAAGGGACTGAGTGATTAACTCATCAATGCACATGCATGTTTCTCACTTGAAGAACTTCTTTCCTGCCCCTCCCCACAGGAATGGAGTCACTTACCCACTGACCCGACACTGGAGGGGATTTGATTGCTCAGAGCAACCCGGGCAAGGAAGCCGAAGAATTAGCCAAGTGAAATCCAGAGATTCCAGGTAGGCACAGGTGAGAAGGGACTTCATCCTCGATGATTACAGTTGTAGGAAGTCATGGGGTCCTTGAGAGGCCCACCCAATAATCCAGGAAAGGGCTGTTGGCCTCTGAAGGGGGCCAGAAGGCCAATGCAGCCTGTCTGAATAATGAACCAAGAGGACTGTGCCCTCTCCCTCTCTCCAAGTTCCTCTTGGAGATAGAGCCAAAGGCCCTGCAGGAAAACGGCAGTAACTTACATTTCTATTAGGCCTTTATGTTTCCCCAGGAAGAACTCTTCTTACAAAGATTCAGTGAGGTAGGTAGAACAGGTATTGTCACTTTACTTTAGAAGTGAAGTGGATTTGCCCAGGGCCACAAAGATAGTAGGTTCTGGAGTCGGGACCTGAAGTCAGGTCTTCTGGCATCAAGACCAGCCTATGACTGAAATAGAGGCCCATGGGCTTCCCCATATACCATGCTGCTAACTCCCAAGGCCCAAGGTCACGGCTTGAGAAACCTGATTCCAGCCCTCTTGTGACCAGTGTTGAGTCCTGCCATCTCTGCCCCACAAACAGGCATCACCCCATGGGAGGTTAGCAGCTTGAGCTGATGGGAGATCCCAGCAAGGCCTAGAGGGAAACGTGCTTCTCTCCGGAACCAGCATCAGTGAAATGAGGGATTCAAAGCCTACTGCCACGTACATCCAAGCTCCAATTCCAGGCCAGCTCTCTCCTGGACTCCCAGGACTCCATGGCCATGCAGCAGGCCATACCCACACCTCCTCATTGACAGGGATCCATCCTTCCCTCAGTGTGATGCTTCTCTCTCTAAGCTAGGTTTGCTGCAGTCCTGGGTCAGGAGAGCAGCTTCTACCTGAGAAAGCCAGGCTGACCTTCTCCTCACAACCCCCTCAATTGCCTCTGTTGGGGCCCAGGAGGAGCCTAGGACCCAGAGCTCCAGAGCTGATGCCCCAACAGGCCATCAGAGCTGAGAAACCAATGCCTTCAAAGGCTGGTGGATTTGCTGGAGGCACAGAAAACAGATCTTGGCTGGGAAATGAGGAAGACAGAGCCCCAGGGAGCAGCTTCCAAAATAAAACAGATGAGAAAACGCAGCCAAGCCCCAGATATAATAAACCCCTGATAATTAACAAGCCGTCGCCGAGATAATCATAGGGAAATATATTTTTATTGCCGCACACATGCTCCTCTGTTTTATTTTTAAATAGTATATATTAGAATAGATCTTAGCTCTGAAAACCTGCAGTTTGGGTTTTGTTTTTTTTTTCTGAAGCAAAGTTGCTGGGCAGCTCTCAGCCCCTCCCCTCCCCTCTCTGAGCAAGGGTATCTGGGGAGCCCTCCATAACCAGCCTAGGGGGAACGAGGGGCAGGGAGGACAGCTCTCCTCACAAGCCCAGATCAGTTTTCTCTGGGCTTAGCACAATCTCCAGGCTTTATCTGGCCTTGGAGACCTTGGGGGAACCCAGTTTTTCCAACATCCCAGCTTTTCCAGGATTTATCACCCCAACCAAAAATCACTCTCCTACAGCCCCACCAGGAGTTTTTGAGATACCCGTTTGTGCTTTGAGGAAAAAAAAAGGAAAGCCCCCATCACTGGGCCCCAGGAACCAGAAGTACTCAGCTTGACCCCAAACTGGACTCTGATGGTACCTTGAGGCAGTCAGGGAAGCCTCCAGTGTCCTGAGCAAAGCCACCTGCCTCTCTCCCTCCTACCCAGAGCCTAAGCTAGAGAGACCATGGGACTGGCTCTTGGCCCGTGTGGAGTCAAGGGACCACACGGTGCGGGAAGGGACATTCCCTGGAGTAATGCATTCTCCAGCGCCAGGCCTCTCTGATCCTAGAAGCAAAGGAAAGGAAGATAATCTTTACCAAAAGACTCCTCCCCCAAGAGGCAGGATTAGGACAGTCTTGTCCCCAGAGCCTTCTTTTCCCCTCTAGTGAAGGGACCGGAGGGGAAAGCTCAGTAACCTGGATGGAATAAGGCAGGCTGGGGCCAAACGAGCTACACAGCCCATGTCCCACAGGAGTGAAAGCCCATCTGCCCCACGGCCGGGGAGGAGAAGGGGAGGGCTTTGCCCACACACACACATGGTCAGGAAGAGAAGCTGATTGTGACAATGCTTCTCTCCTTCGCCTAGCAGAAAAACACATTCTTAGCTTCTAGAAACAAAGATTCAAGACCTATAGCGATTGGGGCTTTCAATCCCAAGGATATAATCAGTGCTTGGAGGAAACCCCTTCCACCCAACAATCCCAGGTCCAGGGAAGGGGGGGATGCTGATCTCAAAGCCATTGAGAGAAAGCTGCCCAGACACCCTGGCGTCAAACGTGGCCAGGGCCCTGTGTTCAGGCTGCTGCTTCTCTGCAGCAAGGGGGGAGCCACACCAAGCCCTCATCAGAAAGGGGAGGGGGACACTGGGGTCCCCAGTTAGCAGCAGAAGTCAACAGTCCAGGCCGATGTTGGCCAAGAGCTCCTCCAGGACCTGCAGCCTCTGGCTGGCCTCCTCAATGGCGCTGTAAGTCTGCACGTTGCTAGTGATATGGAAACGGATGTCGTCCACAAGGGGGATGGAGTCCGTCTCCTGACGCTCAGCTACCGCCGCAGCCTCTTCCTTCACAGCCGCCACAAACTCTTCGCGTTCTACTAGCTGGAGAGGGGAAGAAGAAAGGTCTGGCCAGAAGTCCCGGGTGGGAGAGTGGGGGGGGACACCAGACATTCCAGCTTAGGGAACCTCCCTTTCAAGAAGCTTATACCGAAAGCCTTCCACCCTGGGGCCCAAATCTAATTCCTTCTACCCGGGCCTTCCTCTCTCCACTCCCTCAACCTCAAGGACTCCCAGCCTTGGCTCCCACCTTTTCGATGACCTTGGCCATGAACTCTGTGCACTGGTCTTCCAGGCGAGTCAGCTGGAACAGCTTGGCCACCTTCCAGACACCAACCACGTTGTCCTCATCCAACACTTGTGCTAGGCTCCGGCCACACAGCCGCTTCAGGCCAGGCAACAGGTACATGTCAGCCACACACAGCACATCGTAGGCAATGTCAGGAGACAGCTGTGGAGCAGATGGGGCAGAGCCTCTTGGGGGGGGGCCTCTAGTCTAGGACCCCCCACACAGTGGAACAACAGAAAGGGCCTCCAAATTGGCCCCCCTCCAAATGAGGTGAGGGTGGGGACATAGGATTCCAAAGCACATCCCCAACAGAGCTACCCCCTGCTCTGGGGCTTTGATAATGGCAGAATAAAGTCATGTTGCTCAGTGTAGAATCCAAAGCCCTACAATCTGACCCTCAGCTACCTGGTGAGACTTCTCTCAACCAAATGATAATCATCTATAAAACACCTACTATGTACCAGGCACATACCATGCTAAGTTCACACGCCTCAGATTTAACCCAATCCAATTCAACTCTATATACTAGAGATATAAAACCAAAATTGCAAACAGTCCGTCCTTGCCCTCCCAGAGCTTACAGTCTACTAGAGGTTGGCATGGAAACAAGCACATAGATAAGTCAACACAAAACATAGTCAAACCAAATCCAAAGTAATTTCAGAGAACTTGATCAACAGGAGGAATGAGGGAAGGACACTCAAGCCAAGTTCTGAAGAGAGTTGGGGGTGACAAGGGGCAAAGCATTCCAGGTAGGGGGGAACTCCCCGTTCACACTGCCCCATCCTGGGCTTTCCTTCCCATGACTTTTGGCATGATTCTCCCTTGCCCAGAATGCCTTTCCTACCCCGCCCCCATATCTTCATTTATCAAAATGTCCCCATTCTAGACATTAAAATTAAATTAAAGGGATGGCCAAGCCAACTCCATCTCCATTTCTTACAGGGTTACTCGACAAGCAGGAGGAAAATGCTATGGACAGTTTGCCTAGATGTTAGCATTACAACATTTGACTGTCACTCACGCTATTTATGTGGGCTAGTTAAGGAGTGCAGTCAGGTGTGAACTAAGACCTGGCTGGACAATCGCACCCAAAAAACTGGTCGATAATGGCTCTCCATCATCTTGGAGTGAGGTCTCCATCTAGGCTTGGCCCTGTGTTGTTCTAATATTTTTTTTTTAATAAATTAGTTGAAGGCATAGATGGCATGCCCATCAAATATCTAGATGACACAAAGCAGAAAGGGAGAGCAAACTCACTGGACAACAGAATTAGGATCCAAAAAATTCATGACGGGCTAGAACACTGGGGGGCAGCAAAGGACAGTGGGAAGATCAGTGGGAGTCCAGGACCTGAGTTTATTTCCAGCTCTGCTACTGCTTATTAGCTGTATGGCCACAGATAAGTAGCCTAACCTGTCTGAGCCTCAGTTTCCTCCTCTGTAACATGAGGAGGCTGGACCGCTAAGGTTCTTTCCAGCTCTAATCTATAATCCTATGATTAAGCAGCATTTAAGAAGATATTTAAATTTAAATTTTAAAAAGAATGAAATTTAAATTTAAAGTAGAATGTAATTTTTTTACATAGACTTCTCTTTTTTTCTTCTTCTTCTAATTGAGGGGTGAGGTAGGTGGGAGAGGAAATAAATGCTTATTTATTGAAAAGGACAATAAAAGTTTGTTTTTTAACCTAGTAGAAGGTAAGCTCCTTGAGGGCATGAACAGTCTCACTTCTGTCTTTGTAACCTCTGCCTAGCACACTGCCAAGCACAGTAGAGGTGCTTAATAAATGTTTGTCGAATCAAATCGGTTTCAGAAAATAATTTTCCAAGTGAAAGCAGCCCAGCTAGAGGGCAGCAGCTCATCCGAAGGAATGCTGGGCTTTCCTGGAATCCGGGGTGACGAGGCAGCCAGAGGAGCTAAAGCTGTCCTAGGCTGCAGTGTCTGATGCTGGAAAGGGATGAGCATTCCAGGCTCCCTGACTGTGGTCAGACTATGTCAGAAGGCCGGTATTCAATCTGGAGTGCTACATTTTAGAAAAGATGCTGATAAGCAAGAGAACATCCAGCAGAAGGCAATGAGGACAGTGATGGGTTTTGAAATCAAGCATTTGAAAGAGACCGGTTGAAAGACCCAGGGGTATTTAGCTTGATGGCACCATCAGAGCTGTCCCAGAGTGCCATGGGCTGCCTCTGGGATCACTGAGCTCCCCATCCCGATGGCTTCAAGCAAAGGCTGGATGGTCACTTGCTGGGGATGTTGTGGGAGAATTGATCAAGTATGGATTTGGTTCGGATGGCCTCTGAGATTCTGTCATTCTGCAGTGGCTAGGGTGGGGAACCTGCAGCCTTGAGGCCACACGTGGCCCTCTAGGTCCTCAAGTTTGGCCCTCTGACTGAAACCCAACTTCATAGAACAGATCCCCCCAATAAAAGGATTTGTTCTGTAAAACTTAAGACTCAGTTAAAGGGCCGCACTTGAGGACCTAGAAGGCCACATGTGGTCTTGTGGCTGCAGGCTCCCCACCCCTGGTCCAGTCCCTCCTCACAGTCTAGTGTGAATCTCCCACTCTCTCCTACAATCTCTATCCCTCACAGAGGGTCAGTCCTCTCCATTCCACACTCAGTTACCATGTGTCTTCCCCACTCCCTCCCCAACTAGGCAATGACCTACTTCCACAATGCCAAGGCCTGTTATTTGTTTTTCTCTCCTTCCTAGCACTCAGCTAGAAAGCACCCTACACACATATCATGAACACTCAATAAATGTGAAATGAAGTAAGGGAATAGCTAAAGAGCATGGGGAACCCCAAGAGGGGAGCCTGACCTCAGTGTCATCACTATACACATAGTATAGCACTCGGGTAAAGATGTCAGGGGAGATGCCATGCAGGGTGACCGCAGGGAGGCCAGGAGATGCTGCCAGCTCTTCACTCTCACTGAAGTGGTCATCCAGCAGGGCCCGAAAGTAGTCACTACGGCCACAGAAGAAGGCCTAGGGAAGGCAGGAGCAAGGGGATCGTCCTGGAGGGGACCTTCCACCAGCTCCATCAGATTATCACAGGACCTCAGAGTGAAAGCTAGAAGGCGCTTCAGAAGGTACCCTGTCCAATGCTCTCAGGTTAAGTGACCTGTTCACGGTCACTTAAATTGTCAGAGACAGGATTTGAAACCAGGACCTCCTGACTCCAAGGCCAGCACTTTCTGTCCTTTCTGGCCAACGTTGGCTGACCTTGTCCCATAAGGGTCCAGGTCTTTTCTCAAAGGCCTTCACTAAAACTCCACGCCTTTGCCTCCCCCCATCTCCAAGAAAATGACTCCCACATACCACTGAACTAATGCTAGGGAGTCTGTGTGAGGGATCTGGGAATCGGCAAGCCTGCAAGACATAACAAGGTGAGGGGGAGGAAGAGACGGAGTAGGGTTTGGTGAAGGAGTTGGGAGGATTGGGACAGGTTTGGGAAACTGGAATAGGGGGAGATCTAGGAGGGCTAATGAACACTTTGGTACCTTGTGACATAAGAAGTTATAGTCAGCCACGCGGAAACACACGTCAGGACAGCTGCTGAAATTGTCGGTGCTGTCAAAAGGCAACTCTCCGAAGCCCACCTAGGGGACAAAGCAAGGACAGGACTGGGGTGGTAGCCAAATTCAAAGCTCCTGCCCACTTGTGTCCCAACACCAGCCTTCGAAGAAAGAAGTCAAGGGTCTACTTCAGAGCCAGCACTCCCTAAACATCCCACCCTCATCCCTCCACCATCCCCGTGGACATGGAGATGGGCGGAGCTTGGGGCAGGGTCCTGGGCATACTCGGAGCTCCGGAGGCAAGGCACAGTCTGCCAGCAGCGCCAGGTCTTCCCGGAGCCGGCAGTCAGCAGGGGGCGGCTCAATGGTCAGCACCTTCACACATGTCCCTGGCTTGGAGGCCACTGCCAAGGGAAGAACAGAGCTTCTTTCTCTTTTTACCCCCAGGCAACGCTGCCCAGTCTGGCCCAAGTTGGGGACGTCCCGGTCCTGCCTGCTGCCCACAGTGGCCAAAGAGAACAGGGCTCACCAAACTCATAGGCCTTCTTGCACTTGGTCTCCAGGCTGGTGATGAGCTCCTGCAGCTGACACTGCTTGGCCAGCCTCTTACAGTCACTCACATGCTCCACATCAATGTCCAGGCGGCCTGCAGAGAGAAGAGCCTGAAGGTGGGGTGTTCAGGGAGAAGCTTTGCTTTCCCAGCTGGGCAGGCTGCAGTTACTGCCCTGGATACGTGGGGGAAAGCAAGGGATGGGCTCAGGACAAGGACTCTGGCCTCTTCCTCTAACTTGCTGTACAAATGTAGGTGGTACAGCAACCTGCCTCTGTTTCCCCATCAGTAAATTTCAAAAACTAACTCCTGAGTTGCCCAGAAAAGCTTGGTCAGCACTTGTCTCTGATTTACCAAGTTGGAAACTAAGTCATCCAGGACACAGAGAGCGATGTGACACACTTGGAGCATGACTACGGTCACAAACATGCTCAGGGGTGCTGTGGGACAGGGCTGGATGAGAGAGCATGACCTGGCCCAGCACAATTCATGGAATCCCTACTCAACACAAAAACCCTAATCGAGGTTAAGAAGGAGGGGCACCCTTCTCAGTGGCAGATGACCAAAGACGACTGCCTTATCATGCCACCTCTCCCATAAAGGACTTGTGTCCAAATCCCCAAACCCTCACAATTGCATGCCAACGTTACTGGGTACTCTGGAATGAGTTCTGACTGACGCCCATCTCCTAGACGGGCAGGACATGGACAGCAACGAACCGAGTGAGAGGAGATAACTGAGTTAAGTCTGCCCCACCACCAACCACCCCAGCTCTGCCAATCACCAGCCCCTAGGAGAGGGGCCACCTGTGTAGAGATACTGCAGAAGGGAGCCAAAGGCCGTGGGATTGATCTGTGGAAAGAAACAAAAGGTCAGATCGTCCCAGGATCCCAGGCAGAGTTCCCCTCCTCCTCCCTCGGGAAGGACACTTAGTATCTCCTCAGTGAAACAATTCCAGAGTCCCCTCCCCCAACACCAGGCTGACACTTAGTAGGCCTTGGGGGTGGGAAGGGTGGGGGAGGGAAAGGAGCCCATGCCTAGCTCAGGGTGTTGAAGAACCCAGGCCGGGGATCCCAAATGAAGGAAATGCCCACCCAGGACAGGCAATGTGACTTTTCCTATTCCTGAGCGGTGGACAATAGGGACAGACCCTTTTGGGGCCCAGAGGGTGAGCCTTCAGGGTCATACCAGCGGGTGCTTGAGGGCAATCACACTTTTGCCCTTCCACTTGGTATCAAACATGTTGGCGAAGTAGCTACTTCGGGCACTGAGGATGCATCGGTGGGCACAAAAGGATTTCCCATGGACGATGAATACAATGTCGCTCTCGTAGCCTTGCTCCAGGAGCCTGGGGGAAGGGGGCTGGGTGGGCAGGGGCACGGAGGGGAAGGGGCCATGGGCCATGATGGGGAAGTGGCTATCATCTCATCCCCACCCCCATCCCTGGCCTCTCGCCAGGTCCCAGGCCCTGCAGATGCCTCTTTCAGAGCCAGGACCCAAGGTTTGTAAACAAGACGGTAGCTGGAGGAAGCTACATCCACACGCGGCTTATCTCCCCCCAGCACTCCTGGGCCTGTGAGTGAGTAGGCTCTTTTTTAGTCTGGACGGCTTAGTCTCTGATATGGGAAAAAATGGTATCAAATTTCCAATTTTATGCCTTGAGATGACACAAATTGGTATGAGGATGTCTGCCACTCTCTGGCCTCCTCACCGCTGGGAAAAGGCCTATCTGAGGATGGCTTTGAGGCGTAAAGGGAGGCCCCTTAAAATGCCCAAATGGGTGGGTGACCCGGGATTTCCTCCTCCTCTGCCCCAGGGAAAGAAGGGAGCCCAGCAGCCTCAGGCCGTCCCTGAGCCCCTCACCGCTGCAGGAAGTCATCATAATAATCCCTCTGCATTCGGGTGGAGGTGATCTGCTTGTAATCCCTCAGCTCCCGACGGATGCTGTCGCTCAGTGCCCCATACAGGCAGCGCTCCCCATCAAAAGTGTTGGCCTCACACCTGGCTCCTGAGGGATGATGGAAAATGAGCAGGACCTGCTCTCCCTGCTGTCTGCCTGATGTTGAGCCCAACCCTCAGCTGACTGGTCCCACCCTAGAGGCCCCAACACCAAGACCTTCATCCCAGCCCCACCACCTTGTTCTCCAATGGGACCCTTCCTCTCTAAACCCATCAGTGGGGATCCCAACAGGGTCAGCATATAAACACCACGTGCTCCGAAAGGCCCCAAACAGTTTACAAGATGAGGAGGTGGTGCTGTCAGGGTTAATGCAAAAACAAAGACCTAGTACTCTCATCCATAAGGACAGTTCCCCTGGGTAAGGCCTCAGGCTGGTAGAAGGACCATAGAGAAAGGTGTCCATTGGGGCCGCTGCTAATCTCTGGGCTCAGCCTACCTCAAAGTGTCCCTCTCCTAAGGGGTGCACTTGCGCACACATGCACGTATGCCCACACACACACACACACACACACACAAATACAAATGAATGTGCAAATACTCTTCCCCTCCTGTGCTTACCATTGGCCAGGAGATACCGTACAAGCTCCTCATGTCCACACAAGCAGGCATAATATCTGTGAGGGAAAAAAATATCAGCAAGTTATAGTACAGGAACCCCCTTCTCTTCACCACAGGACAATAAAATATTGGCAAGACCAGAGCTCTCAAGGAGTCCAGGCTTTCAAATCTCAGCTCCAACACTCACTAGCTGGGTGACAGTCTCCCCATCTCTAAAATAAGGGCATGGGGAAGGGAGAGAATGTCACATTTGAAAAACCTACGTAACCACTGTGACAGAAGGTGCCATAGTAGCCTTGAAGTGCTCCAGAAATCAAATTATCATGGCCACAGGCAGCCCTGTCCTCAAGGTCCCAGCTTTTGGCTTGGCCCCCCTTCCTTCCTCCCCAAAGTAGGTTTCTCCCCTACTCCTTGAACTCTAATGGTTTCCTATTGCCTTAAGCACAAAATAGAAACTACTGTTTAGCCTTGAAAGCCCTACACAACCTGGCCCCAACCTAGCTTTCCCGCCCAACGGCCATTAACCCCTCTCTCCTGCATGCTCTGCAATCCAGCCAAATTGGCCTTCTCTCTGTTCCTCACACACAAAATGCCATCTCCCACCTCCACACCTTTGCACTGGCCATCTCACCAAGCCCACAACACATTCCTAACTCTCCTCCACGTCATACCATCTTTCCTCTTCCTTTAAGACACTGTTCAAGTACCTCCCGCCACCCCGTCACCCACTAGTGCCCTCCATCCCATAGTACTTTGTATTACACTACTTGGTATATATTTATATTTATTCACTATATATTTATGCTCTATATATATATGCCCCATGAGCATGTAAGCTCTTTGGAGTAGGGCTTGTCTCATTCTTTGTACTTATATCCATAGTACTGAGCCCCTAATAAATGCTTAATGACTGACTAATTTGAGATTGGGGGACTCTTTCCCCCCAAGGGAGGTAGAGATACTCACAGAGGGGTACTGTCCCATTTGTCCCGGACATTGATCTCCACATCTCTCTGCTCCAGAAGGTACCTGAGTGGAAAGAAGAATACAAAATAATTGAGTAATGCCTCCTCAGTGAAAGTCATCCAACCCTCAAAGGAGATAGGAAACTCAACTCATCCATGAGACTGGGGGGCCCAGTGGAGAATGACTAGAGATGAGGCCTCTTCTCACAGGACAGATAATGGCCTTGGGAACAGAAAAGATGGAGGTAGATGAGAGATTCTGAAGAAAGAATCGACGAGACTCAGTGACTGATCAGCTGTGGAGGACAAGAAAGAAGTGAGTGAACCAAAGAACAGAAATAGAGAAATTAGAAGGAAGAGCTGATTTCAGAGGATAAGATAAGCCTGGTTTGGGAAATGCTGAACTTACAATCCTGGCAGAATGCTGAGTAGGAAATTACCAGAAGCTAATTGGAAAGAGGCCTGAAGTACAGGAGAAAAAATGGTGCTGGAGATAGGGTTATAATATGAGCTGCAAAGACAGTGTCTCAGGATGGTTAGAAAGCCTGCCCAGGGGCTCAGGAAGGCCTGGCTATAGGTCCTGCCCAGGGTCCCTGGACAGGTCAGTGCCCCCAGTAAGGCTTTAGGCTTCGGGGAGAAGAAGCCAATCTGCCCTGGGAGAAAGGCTCTCACTGGAAACTTCCTCCAAAACTGAAGTCACAGGTCTGCCACAAAGAAGAATAGCACCTGGTATTTCAGAGAGCTCTTGGAGGCAGGGGCATCAAACACAGGGCCCACTCCTGCCCTAACCAGACTCATATCACTGGGAAATATTTAACAAAATAATTAAAATTACAACAGAACATAGATAATGTTGCTAGGCAGTTTGCTCATGTACTACGTGGCCTGAAGAGATCCTTACGGACGCTTTAGTGGCCCCACCACTGCTTTCAGGCAGAGGATGAAGCAGGCTGCTAGGTATTACAACTGCTACTATTCCCATTCTTTACAGATGAGGAAGCTGAGACTCAGAAAGGTTAAATGTCTCAAAGTATCCGGCCTAGTTTGAACTGGGGCCTCCTCTGTTCTGAGTGTGAAATCTTTCTCCCCCACAATGCTGTCCCATTCTCTCTCCACTGCCTCAATATATTTATCAGTTACTACCCCGTTATCTAGATACAGGTGAGGGTTGGAGCCAGAGGAAATAGAAGCATCAGGTCAGGGGATCGAGAGACAGACGCAGACAAAGGAAGCCACAAGCTTAGGGATGGAAAGGAAGAAGGGAAGCCAGGAAAAGGGATCAAACAACAAACGGTAACAGGAGAACCAGAATGCACGGAAGGCAGAGGAGCAACTATCTCAAGAAAAATGCACCAAATGAAGTTGAAAGGGATGAGATGATGAGGCCTGAGAAAAGGACAATGAGTCCAGTGATTGGGTGGGTCAACGGTGCCCTGGGAAACTGTAAGACCAGTGACCGGGTGGGTCAACGGTGCCCTGGGAAACTGTAAGGCCAGTGACCGGGTGGGTCAACGGTGCCCTGGGAAACTGTAAGGCCAGTGACCGGGTGGGTCAACGGTGCCCTGGGAAACTGTAAGGCCAGTGACCGGGTGGGTCAATGGTGCCCTGGGAAACTGTAAGGCCAGTAACTGGGTGGGTCAATGGTGCCCTGGGAAACTGTAAGGCCAGTGACTGGGTGGGTCAATGGTGCCCTGGGAAACTGTAAGGCCAGTGACTGGGTGGGTCAATGGTGCCCTCGGAAACTGTAAGTACAGTGATTGGGTGGGTCTTGTAAGAGGTTAAAAAAAAAGTGGATGGAAGCAAGGTATGTCCACAATTCCTTAAGAAATCTGGTTGTACTTTGTCCTTCAGTTTCGAAGAAGATCATGACATCAGGGAGGTGATGCTATGACATGCGGTCACTAAAAAAAGGGATAATAGACAGAAAGGAGAGCAGGAGAAAGTAAAGAGTTTTTTTCCATTATAGAGACTTGTGACAGTTTGAAGAAGAAGTCCATGGACAGAGAGTGATTGGATTTGCTAGAAAGAAAGAGATAGCTGATGGAGTAGACTCAGAGGAGGTGGAGGGAGACAGGGGCAAGCACGCAGACTGATTGAAGGGTGGACATATTCCTCCCTCCTCCTAAGGCAAGAAAGACAAATATGCTGAGGTAGAGAGGAGACAAGGAAATGTAGTCTGCACCAATGACCACTTTCTCTTAGGGAAGCAAGAGGTGACATCATTTGCACATCAGCAAAATCTCTCCCTGGGGTACATGAGGCACCCCCCTAAACCCCAGGTTCCCAGTTTTGGATAGTCCACGATCCTAGTTCCTAAGCAGTGACTCAGGGAAGTTTCCTTTAACTGGCTTAGTGCTACCAAAGAAGTGGGGTTTTCATGCATAAGGATGGCCCCAATGGGTAAGACCTCAGGCTGCTAGGTGATGAACTAGGGTGAAAGGTCTCTTGTGGAGCCTATCATACCTCAGGTTCTAAACACCACCCTCTATCTCCCCAAGTGGCTATCCTGCCCTGTGTCTAAAAGGCTCATCCCAGGTCCCCGAGCTCTCCCACCAGACATATAACCCCTCTAGTCCCCCCTTTCCCCAGAAACTGGGTCCCTCTTAGAAGAACCTCCTTAGAGGTCTGGCCCAGCCCCAGCCTATAGAGGTTCTGACTTAATTCTACCTGGCTCATGCAGGTGGGTATGCTTGGAGTGGACAGAGCATTAAGGGAAAAGTCCCAGGCAGAACCTAGACTCCTGGCCGTCATTGGGCCAGCTTCATGCAGTGCCCAGAGAGGCCAGCAGAGGGAGGAAGGAAACGGGATGGTCCTGGTGGACAATTTCACCTACATAACAGGCCTAGTCCTTGGATTATACACTCAGGTGGTCACCTCTCTTAATTGCAAAGAAGATATACGGACCCTGAATTCCCTATGAGGAAAACACAGCTCCCCCGTAAGAGCAGGTGCAGGTGTGGAGAATGAAGGGCTCCTGGCAGGAATTTGGCCAGAGCTCATCCCCTGCCCTTTGCCTGCCCCCATACCTTCCCCTCCGCATCTTTACTCTCAGGGTTCACAAACACTGTGGAATAATATAAACTGTGCCCCTCTTTGTCCCCATGAAGAGCCAAACTCTAAGCTGTGGTGAGGGCCCTCAGGGGGTACTAGTGTGCCCCTCACCCCCATTCTCCAGCCTTGGCTCTGCACCCCAGAACTCCAGGCCACAGCCAAAAGGGACTCTAAGGCCCCTACCTTTATTCCCCAGCTCTCCCTCAGCACCCACCCGGCACTACAATGTCACTCTTCTTCCCGAAGCCCCTTGAACTTTGCATGCAGTCCCCCAAATTCTCCACTGCATCCTCCCACTCCCCACATCTCTGCACCTTCACATCTCCCACGTTCCCTCTACATACTCTCCCTCCTCTACACACTTCTTCCCAACCCCTGGCTCCCCAGATCTCTGCTTGCCTCTCCCCATCTCCTTCATTCTCTGAATTTCCACATCCACCCCGCACCTCCACCATCCCCCCTGCACCTCCACCATCCCCGCTCTCGACACACCAGTTTCCATCACACACTTGATCCCATCCCCCACCTCCCCTCATTCCCACACATCTCCCATCCCGACCTCCACTCATTCCTCTATCCACTTTTCCCCATTTTCCAGTCTCCCAATCTTTGCACACTTCCTCTCATCCCTCATCTCCTCTTGCACTACCCCATCCCCTATCCCCCACCTTCTCCCACCCCCCCAGTCTTTGCACACCTGCCCCGCCTTCACGTTCCCCTCCTCCACTCCCCCCAGGCTCCCTGCCTCCCTCACCGGACTCGGCAAACGTCTCCTTTCTTGCAGCTGATGAAGAGATCGCTGGTGTCCATGGCCCGGAGCGCTCATGACCCGGTGGGTTCGGGCTCGGCGGGGGTTCGGGAAGACTCTGGCGGTGGCGAAGGCGGCGGCGTCGGCCCTTCCCTTTCACGGCCCTTCCTCGTCCCAGTCCCGGGGCGGATGTAAACACTGCAGGCCCGAAGGCCCGGCTCCGCCCCTGGGGCGGGGCGGCCGCTGCGGCGGCTGGAGCCCGAGGACCAACGACCCTGTGCCCTCACGCCGGGTTCTAGGTGCGGGGAGCCCGACCGGGTTCTAGAGCGGCAGCTGCGGCGGCGTTCTAGGCTGCGCGGCGCGGGCCAGGAGGGAAGACCCCCGTCCCCACGAGATTATAAGCGCCTTCCGAAAGGGCAGGGGCCAGAGCACCTGACTGACTGACGGAAGCACGGACGTGGAGCCAGAGGACGTGGGTTCGAATTTGTGCTCTGCAACGTGGACCTCCGCCTAGTTACTCAACCTCGGGCCTCAGTTTTTTCGTCTGTAATAATAAAAGCGATGGACTAGAGAAACTCTGTGGTCCCTTCCAGCCCCAAATCCACGATTCCCTGATCCCTGTGGGATTCGCCAAATCACTGATCTCAAAAATGAGGGACTAGATGACCTCTGGAGCCCCTCAGCTCTGTGACGCGGAGCTTCACTTTGCACGCCCTTAGAAATTGTTGTGGTTAGCTTGTATCTTTCCACAGCGGACCAGGTGTGCTTAATAAATGTTTGTTGTTGCTGTCTTGTATCTCATCCAGCTCCTAGTAGAGCCCTTGCTCTTGGTAGGCACTTGATGAATGAGTAAATTCTACAATTCAATGCTAACTCGAGAGCCCACCCTATCTCTTCTTATTGCTGAGAACCTGTCAGACCGACAGTTTGGGGCGAGAGGTTATGGGGTTCTCCGATGGTGGGCTCTGACCATGTTTGGCCACCTAAGGATCTGGCATGGATATGGGATTGACATTTGGGGTAAGGGGCCTTCTTCCCCTTTCCATCTCCAAACCAGTTACTACAAGCCCTTAGGCTCAGCTGGCTTTCAACTAATTCCTTCCAGGGTATTCTCCCTCCCAAGGGTACTGAAAGAGCCCAAAGCTGGCAGGACTCAAAGGAATCAATTTCTAAATGATAGAATTTCAGGGCCACGATAGGCAAGTTAATTAAGCTCATTCATAGAATGTTAGATCCTTAGAGACTGTCTAGCCCAGACCCCCATATTTAGCAAGAGAGGTGAAATGATGTGTCTAAAATAGCACTGTTAGTTGGTGGTGGAGCCAATTTACACCCACAGCTCCTAACTTGCCAGTCCACATCCTTTCTACCATGACACAAGGTCTTTGGAAGACAATACCCTATGTCCAGGGTCCTCAAGTTATACCTTGTTGGGCAGCTTTGAGGAAGGTAGAATAAGGGAGACTGCAACAAAATAACTGGTGGGGATCCAGAGAAGGCTACTGACATATCAAACCCACCTTAGACACCCCTGTCCACCCTGTGAACATGTCTGCACTAAGTAATCTTTGGTGACCTCAGAGAAGTTTCAGGGTCTGTCCAGGGCACCACAAAAGAAGCTCTCTGAGGTTGGATTTCTCCAGGGAAGGCCTGATTTGGTGGTTTGGGGGTCAGGTGAGGACAGATGCAAATGCTGAGGCCTTAGAGAACTCTCTAGCTGAGAGAGGCTGAAAGGAAACAGGAACAAGAAATCAGAATTGAAGTTGGAAGAGGCCTCAACAGCCATCTGGTGCAAGCTGGACCCAAAAGGAATGCCCATTGTCATCCAGCTTCTCCTTAGAGCTCCCCCAACCTCCCAAGCCAGCCTGATCCACTTTGGGATGGCTCTTGTTGTTAGGAAGTTCTTTCTGGCATTGCCTAAATTTGCCTCTTTGCCACTTCTGCCCCATTATAATTAGTTCTACCCTGTGGGGCCAATTCCCACAGGCTAGTCCTTCAAATACCTCAAGATAACTATCCTATTCCCCTCGAGATTTCTCCAGCCTACACAATCACAGTTCCTTCAGATGAGCTTGCTCTCCTTTGGGCACTCTCTACTTTATCAATTAATAAAGCACCTACTGTGTGCTGGGCACTGTAAGAAGCACTGGGGATACAAAAAAGGGCGAAAGACAGTCCACAGTTCCTGTCCTCAAAGAGTGTACAGCAATACCCTTGTTAAAAACTGGCACTTGGGGCTGAACACAATGTTCCAGCTGTTATCTGACCACAGCAGAGGGCAGAGGGATTATCATCTTCATATTCCTGGAAAACATGTCTTGTTTTAGCCCAAGCTCACATTAGGTTTTTTTGTTTGTTTTGGTTTGGTTTGGTTTTGGTTGGTTTGTGTTTTTTTGGTTTGGTTTTGTTTCGTTTTGTTTTTCGCTTCTATATCACACTGCTGACTCATATTGAGCTTGCAGGCCCATCAAGAATCCCAAAACTTTTCTTCCTACAAATAGGTGTCTAATCATGCCTCCTCCCCACTCTCTGCCCATCCCCATCTTATACTTTCGACGTTGATTTTGTTTAACCCAAGTATATACATTCATCCCTATTGAATTCTTATTAGATTCAATCCAATGTTCTAATCTCTCAAGATCTCTTTGGATCCTGTCTCTATGACTACACCTCCTCTCTTCCTCCTCGATAGTCCAGGAATGTGACATCTATGCAAAGTGGGGAAATGTATTCTTCTTCTATTCTGCTCCCACATACCCACAATCTCCTGGAGGGGGCCCTTCTGCCAAATCACAGCTCTGGGAGCAACAGCCTCTATCCCTCTTCTCTGGACAATGATGAGATCTTCCACTGACCCAGCCAAGGATCCTACCAGTCAGCTAAATGTGTCCCTCCTAGCATTGTGTCACCTGTAAAGTCAAAGAGCACGCCTGCCTGTGCTCTGTCTGAGCCGCTGACAAAAATGTTAAAAAGCACAGGACTAAGGACAGATCAAAAAAGCCCTCCCCTGGAGACCAATGGTCAAGTGTCTCTAGTCAACTAGTTCCTAATTCATCTGTATTGTATTACTGTCTAGTTCACATTTCTTCATCTTTCCTACAATAATAGTATGAGAGACTTTGCTAAAATCCAGATAAACTCCTGCAGAAACAACATATCCTTGATCTACTAGTTTAGTAACTTTGTCCAAAAAAAACCCAAAACATGGCCTCATTTCATGCCAAACAGAACATGGTCTCCTGAATTAGAGACATTAGTATGATCTATGGCCCTTCCCAAGAGCTAGAAGGAGGTAGTTTGGGGACAATGGAAGACATACACATGTGACGCAGTACAGCGTAAGCTCTTTGAGTTAAGGGAATTACTTCAATTGTTGTCTAGGTAGCCACAGTGCCTAACACATAGTAGATACTTTATGAGATCTGTTGAGTTGGAAACGAGCTTTGAGTTGGAAGTAGAGTCCTTTCTCTACTGATCCATTGTGTTATCTTGGGCAAATCACTTCTCTATGCCTCAGTTTCTTTCGCTGTAAAATGAAGGAGTTAAATTCTCCGGAAGATCCTCTCTCAGCTTGGCCATTCTATGACTCTGCTGGAGTTGAAAAGTATGACCTCAGGGGTCACATAACTGCCCGAGTCACACAGCTCGTGAGTGGAAGAATTTGAACACTGGTCTCCTGACTACATCAAGCACTCTCTCCGAAGCCAGACCTTCTCCACAACTCGATCTAGGGTTGAGGCCACAAATAATGACCTCTAACCTTGCTTCTGCCTGTTTCCATCACCAGGTGGGCGGCTGGGCTGCATACAGTTATGGCGGGCTGGGGGCGGGGAGGGGTAGTTTCGGGGGGAAAGTGGAAAGAAAGACCCCCACCCCCACCCCTCAAAGGGATTTGCGTTCGCTCAAACTCCGGGAGAGTCTTCCAATTGAACATGCGCAGCTGCCTGATCACCCACCGGGCCGGAGCTAGGCCCAACTGAGCATGTGCAGACCTGGGCGGGCGATGTACCTAGGTGATCTCTTAGGAAGCATTCAGGAACGCCCTCCGAGGCGCCCACCCCACCCTCTTTCCCCTGCCCCTGCCTCACAGATAGGTCCCCTCTAACGAATAAAGAAAATATATCCCGAGCCCACTGTCCCCCAACCCCAAACTAGGATCAGCTCAGGGGATGTGCAGCCCAGGGCGTTACGATGAATTCTGGCTCTCGTGGGCGGAGCCTTAGATGTTGGCAGCTGTGCACATCTTCTGATTGGCTTCTGGCTCTCTGACCGCTCCGCCTCCTCACGAGGCCCCGCCCCACACATGCACACAATCTCCTGGATGAGACTCTTCTGCCAAACCGCAGCTCTGGGCGCAATGGTCTCGCTATCCCTGTCTCTGGCCAAGGCCAGCTCTTGCCATCATGTTTAGCCACTTCCTTGGGCACAGGAATGCCCAGTGACCTAGCTGCCGAGGAGAAAAGGGACAGGAGGCACGTTTCTGCTCAGCATCCTTAATCCAGGGTCAGTTTAATCAGTTCCACGGTGCCCGCAGGAGAGCTGACTGGGAATAGGGAAAGGATATCATCTGCCCTTTCCTTCCCCCTCCCCCCCACCCCCCAAAATAAATAACAGCAGCTTCCACCTTCAGGCACCCTGCCTGGATCCCCAGGGGAACAGCATTCTCTGCCTGCCCTGAAGAGCTTAGAATGAATCACAGCTGCTACTGGGGCAGTATGCAGTGATTTTGGAGAAACCACCCATCAGCAAATTGCGGTTGATCAAGAGCACATGAGAAGTCAGCTTGGCAACAGCACAACAGATCGAGGGTGTCCAGAAGTGAAGCATTTTTTCTCTAACCCATGTTTGGGAAAACGGCCAGGCAAGATTTGTGGGCTGGTTCATAAACCTTGGTTGCATAGACCAAGGGAAGTAGCAGTGGCATCTGGGATACCTGGGGAGGGGGTGCTCCCAAAGGAGAAGGGGCAACCTCATTTGCTAGCTTTCCCATCCGGTCCACACCAGCAAAGGGGAAATGAGGGCTGTGAGAAGCAGAGAGTGGGCTGCATTGTCCTAATCCCTACCAGGCTTTGGGCCCACCCCTTCTGTGCTTTGGGGTTAGCCAAAGCAAGATGTGGGAAACGGAGGTGCAGGAAGGAGGTGGGGGAAGGGGTATAGTATATTCGGGTTTCCTGGTGGTGCTTTCTGGTGGAACAGAAAATGAAGGTTGACCTGGACTTTCTTTTCTCTTTGTCTCAGGTGCTCAAGCCTGACATTGTAGGTTCAGACCCAAGCTCTTGGAGATGGGCGGAGATCAAGTCATCAGCTCTCTGCTTGGGATGCTCAGGGCCAGCAGAGAGGCAGATGCCAGGCTGGGACGGAAGGGTGAAAGGTGATTTAGAGGAAGAGAAAGAGACATGACCTAGTGGTGGGCTTCGAGCAGAATAATACAGATTTGTCTCTAAAGCAGGACAGAATTGGGTACTTATCTCTCCGACATACCTAACCTGACCTGAACATGTTCCACTCACACCCCATCAACAATATCACTCTGGTTTGGTCCAGAGTGCTGGTCCAAAGTCCTGGGGTGGAAAGAAAGGAGTATGCCTGGTTGTGGTGGAGGGGAGGGAGGGGACTGGTCCCCCCACCCAATTCACAGGTGTGTGTCCTCCTCAAATCCATCAGAGTCCTCAGGGTGTCTCTTGCCGCCCATCAGCACAGTCCAGCCCCCAGGCCCATTGGCCGTGCTGCCCCCATTCAGACTTGGCTGCTTCTCCTGCATCTCTGACTGGCTGTCGCTGGCCACATCCAATGTGGGGTTGTCATGGCATCCATTCTCCACAAAGCGAAGTTCTTCTCCATGGGCCTGAGGATGAGATAAGAAAAACCAAAGCTGTTAGAAAGAGGATCAAGGAAAATTCTCCTCAGATGCCTCCAAAACTAAGAGGAGGCAAGAAGAATGAGCCATCCCAGGCCAGCCAGGAGAACAATGATGCCCCTTCTTTTTGAGGACCTGCATCTTTCTTGTCCTACAGCCCATGACTAGGAGTTAAGCTTCCCACCACCTCACTTATACCAGCCTCCCATTTGGATAGTGCTTTATAGTTTTTCAAAACACTTCCCATACACTCTCTGATTGGATCCTCACCACAGCTCTGTGAGGTAGGCATGGCAAGGGATATGGTGATTAGAATAGGCTCACTGGTAGGTGGCACTGCCTGGGACTGCCTGACCTACAACCAGGTCTTTGGACTCAACAGTACTCTTCAGACCTAGCACCACAACAGGAGTGGCCTCCATGTACCCTTCCTCCTGCCCCTTTTGGAAATCTTCTTGGAAGCTCGATCTCTTCCTAGGTCCCTTGGAATTACTCTTGGTTATAACCTGAACACTGCCCCCCCCCTTTCCCATTTCTTATTCTCCTGCCTGGATCGATCAGAAACCTGTTCCCTTTCTGAACAAACTAGCCCTCTCCGTGTTCAGTAGCTTCTCAGGATGCAGTTCTTTCCCTGGTAAGCTTCATCTCCAGCTCACTACACTCCATCATGGGAGGGACACAGGAACTCGGGTACCCATTCTTCTCCCCTCCTCACTCTTACCTCAGAGAAGTCAGAGATAAAAGATCAATCACATGAACTGTCATGAGGTAGGAGATGAGAATGTCCAGCCATGAGAAAAAGCCAGTTCATGATGTCACCCCTGCCTGAAATGCCCTCCTCTCTACCAATTCAAATCCTACCAGTCCTTTAACCCCTCTCCTCCATGAAGTTCTCGTGACTCCTGCTATGGAGGTCCAGAGGATTTCACCGTGACATCTCCTTCTCTTGACTCCCCAGAGTACTTAGTGTCTGTACCATCTGTGTGCCTCTCAATTACATACCGCTGTGTACTGCTTCTCAGCCTAGCCTCTTCTACTACACTGTAAGCTCTTTGAGGGGGCAGACCATGAACCTTGTTCATCTTTGGCTCCTCTCCAGCACTGGGCATTCCGCAGAGGTTCCACAAAGATCCGCTGAATTGAAGGGGATCACATCCTCCCTAGCCCCAGCCCATGACTGAGCAGCTCGCCCTTCAGCCCACTCCCCACTTCTCTGGCCATCGCCTGCCCCACTAGCTCGCCCGTCCCATTCCCAACTTGTCTTTGTGGTCTTTTGCCCATGATGGTTCTGGCCCCTTACCATGTTCTTGAGCTTGGGCAGGCGACGCTGCCAACAGTTGTAGATGAGCCCTAGCACGATAATGATGACGCAGATGGAGCCGATGACAACCAGCACAACAAAGAGCTTCCCATAGTCACTCCGGACCTGACTTGGCCGGGCCTGGCAGCTGGTGGTAGTGGAGTAATTCTGGATGCCAATCTAGAGTAGAGACAGGAGGACAAAAAAATGTGAGGGCATTCCCCCCTGAGGCACCAGAGGCACTTGCTTAGCCACTATGGGGAGGCTTTGAGAACCCCCAGAATAGCCTCCCAGCTACTCCTGTCCACTGCAGAAGTATGTCAGAGAGCAGAGGGAGGCTGGGAGGAGCAAGGATGCCCTCAAGCAAGAATCCTCAGGAAATAGCAGAGCAGGGTAGCAGATCCGGAGGGTGCCCACAGACCATCCCCTGAACAATACTCAGAAAAGGCGTCATTTAGTCTTTGCTTAAAGACCTCAGGGAAGGATAACTCACTGCCTCCTGGGGCAGCCCATTTCCTTTTGGACAGCACAAATTGATGGCAAATTTTTCCTAACATTTATACAACTTTAAGTGTCCCTTTACAACTTCTACCCATTGTTCCTAGTTCTGGGGCTAAAAAGAACAGTCTAAGGCCTTCTCTAAGAATCTTGGGATACTTGAAGACAGTTCTCAAGACCTCCCACTAAGTCTTCAGGCTAAGTATTCCCATTCCTTCAATCAATCCTCACGTGACAAGGTGATGGCCATGGCGTCTCATTCGTAGAGGCATCCAAAAGCTGAATAATGGGGACTCTGGAAATTCATACCAAGTAAGGGGAAGTGAACATTAAGAACTAGGCTCTATTAATAAACAGCCCCCCCCCCCCAAGCAAGAAGGAACTTATGCTCAGATCCAGTCCCAACTGAAGTTTCCTTTTCAATTCTCTCTTATTGGACTATATCACAGAGCTCCAGGGCTACCACCCCTTCTTTCTTTAAAAATCAATCAATTAATAAATCTGCTGGTGAAGCCAGTCCTTGCCTAGTCAGTTTGCAGACAGACAAGGTATTTGTATGTCCTTGGCAAAGATAGAAAATTGGGTTCCCTCCTATCAAAAGTTATACCATCATATGTAGTTATCCAATGGATGTTTTGAGCCTCACCATGACATGTACAACTTAACTTATCACAAAATAAATAGTAGGTACCATGGAGAGTGGAATATTTTGTAACAAAACATGAGCATTTACAAAAAGTAATATTTAGATGTGCCCCTTTTTTTTTCTGCTCTCAGGAGAATTGTATCCACCCTAGGTGGCCAATACTTTGTCTACCCGGAGCTCTCCCTCTCTCCAGAGTAGCCCAGTTCTCCCTCTCCTTCTCTGCCCACCAGTCCTCACCCTTTAGTCATGGGTCTAGACATGAACCTGGTCCTAAGCTCTCCTTTCTCTGAATTCAAATGAGCCAGTCCATAGGCATAGTACCACTCTCTTATCTCTGCCTGTTGAAGCCCTCTAAGGCCCTCTTCAGGTGCCACGTCCTCCAGGAAACCCACCCTGATCCTCATAACTGAAGGTCATTCCTCCCTCCTCAGATTTCCTAGAGCATCCTATCTAGACCTTCCTGTTGCCCTGATCATATTCTACCTCACACCCAATTTATTTGACCTCCTGTTGTTTTCCCCAGTAGGTTGTAAGCTCCTTGAGGGCATGTCTTCTTAAAAATCAATCCAACTGAGAAAGAATAGGATTAAAATACTAAGGAGCAAAATAACCTAAAATAAAATGGGGTAGAAAGGAAGTTCTTTCATTTCAATCTTCCATTGCCATTTTCTGGGTTTGGAAAATCTCCAGCTATATTCTTTGTAGAAAAATCCTTAGAGAAGTTTGGCTTGGGGCTCATTGAGAGGCAGTTCATTAGAGGAAGGGCCTGAGCTGGGAATGAAATGTTGGCTTTGTACTTGGAGACAGCACCTTCTCTACCCTTCCAGGAGCCAAGGCTGATTCTTAGCCAAACAGTGATGTCAACAAAGCCTTTCTTAGGTCCTCTTCACTCTCCTCCATTTCTCTAACAATCCCTAATCCTTCCTAGCCTTCAGGTGGGCTACCAAGGGTCTTCCCCCAAGTAGCTATTACCCCCTCAGATTTCTACTACACCCATCCCCTCAGGGTTATGTTCTCTACTGGGTAACAATGTATAGAGCAGTAAATTATTACTTAGGATATACTAATTCCTACTAATGTGTCTACTAGGAATGTGGAAATACCTCCTAGGCAACAGAGAGGCTTAAACTAGCTAAAATACTGGGCTCTTCCAGGAGGTTCTTTAAGAAGGGGCTGATAGTGGGAATTTCAGACAGTGGCAGACCAGTAAGGATATATTTTGGGGCTGACAGTCATTTATTCCCCCAAATCACAAATGTGTAGGCAGATACCTAATGTGTCTACCTGGTAAGGCCCTTGCCCACATGGCTATGTGATTTGAAGAAGGCCACCTTGCCCACCCATCCTCTAAGGCTCTTACCTCCACCAAGCTTCTCCGGATATCACCCAAAACTGAGAGGACATCTTTAGTTGGAACCACGCCTGAGGAGAAGGATAAAGGGTTGTCTCTATTGCCCCAGCTCCTGGGCCTCCCATCCATTTCTATCCTTGGCTTTCTCTCTAACCCCACTGAGTTCCCACTCTTTTTCATACATCCACACTCCTCACTCACACCTTTTTCACTCTACACACATCCTCCTTTCATTCCTCCTATAAACATGCCTCTCTCCTACTTAAATGCCTTTCTTTCCTCCTGTAGATTTCCCTAATTTCTACAGACTAAGTGGGGAACCTGGAGACTACTGCCAAGGCTGGGAGTAGTCCAGGGCAGAAATTCACCTGAGCTGTAGCTACAAGTGATGTCAGCACTTTTCAGTAACCTAGACAAAGCCTTGGTTGTCTCAGCCTGATTATGACTCTGGATTAGGGATTGGGGATTGGACCCATGACTATATTGATACAGGGAATTCTTGTATCCTCTGTACAATTGCAGATCAGCACCTTCTCTTTGACTTAAAGTCTTAGAGAGTGCCTACAGTACTTAAGGTTAAGTGACTTACCCAAGGTCACACAATGAGGATCTGTCAGAAATATCACTTGAATCCTGGTCTTTCTAGTTTTGAGACCAGCTTTCTGTTCATTATGGCAGGCTGCCTTTATAGATCTGAATGAACCTAATAATGTATCCTCTCCTCTTCTTCTCCAGTGCCCTAAAGCTGTTCTTATAAATTTTCCCTATAGCCTCAAGATCCCAGAACTCCCGCACTGAACCCTGAATATGTGATTGACAAATCTAATCAGTGACTTCTCTTCTACCTTCCCCAAAAGCCCTAAAATAAGAGAAAATGTAAAAACCCAAGGTTTTACATTTTTTATTTTGTAATTCATTCTGTGTGAAAACTCTCAAGGACCCTGGAAATGCTGAATTGGCCAAATTGTTGTTACTTTTACAAAGCACCATAATAAGATGCTAGCCCTCTGAATGAATTAGGCCTCCTGCTGTGTTCTGTGTCTAACAAAAGAAAAGAAGAGCAAAGGCCTAGCCCTTTTCTCTTCTGCCTGCCATAGGTTTTTCTTCCTCCTGTTCCCTGTCATCCTAAGCCTCTACTCTGTGCCCTCCTTCACACTGATTCTCTTCTGTCCCACCCACTACATGTGAGTGTTTCTTCTTCTAAGCCCTCCCACCTCTTGCTCTGGTCACTTACCCTGCTCTCCCACTAGGGTCATCAGCAAATGTTGCTCATTCTCACTGGGCTTGCTCAGGGAGATGTGCCAGTCCCCAGGACGACCATCCCCCTGTCGGGGCAGTACCTCTTCTACCAGGGCCAGGAGCCGAAGCCCTCTGTGTTGCCGGAACACCTCCTGCCAAAGAGATAAGATCTCCCTAAGAGCTAAGCTGAGCAAAGCCACCATGAGTGAGATGTTTTTTCCAAGACCTATCTCTCTCCAGTCCTTCCCCTTAGAAACTCTGCTCAATGGCTTTGCACCATGCAAACCTGTTCCATTTGCTCTAAAGAGGTGACCAGGCCAATAGCACAGTCTCCTCCCTAGCCCCATCCTTGTATTGTAGGGGAGGTACCACTATGAGCACAAACATCAGAGAAGCCTGGCAACAGGCTTTGATGTACTTCAAACTCATGGCAATAAGTTGTCTGTACTACTTGCTTGGGCCTTAATCATATAATGATGATGATCCTGGACTCCTTTATGGCAGGGAATGTCTTACTTATCATTGTACCACTAACAATATCCAGTAGAGCTCTAGACACAGTATGGGCTTGTAAAATGCTAGTTGAGTGAATAGCTGGATAGATGGATGAATGAATGAATGAATGAATGAACGAATGAATGAATGATGTCCAGCCCTGTTTAGAGACAAGTAACCTACATTCCCCCATAGGGAGTTACCATCCTCCAGTTCTACAGATGCTTTTATTTGGTCCTGTCACTCCCCTGGTCCCTCAGCTCCAGATCTTCTGTTTTACTCAGAAGGCCTTTCCCTTCCACTTAACACAGTCTCGGTATGTCTCCCTAATGGCCCCACTCCAGCCTCTCCTCCAGGGTAGCAGCCAGGTGAGGTGACAGTGCTCATCTCTATCTGTCTCCTGTGCCATGTGACTGGGTTGGGGGAGCCTGAAGACATGCATGACATTGAATTCAGATCCATCCCTTGGGGTTTCTCTGCCATTTCCCATCCCCTCCTTTCTCCTCTCTGGCCCATATTGCTGCTACTGTTGTCATGCCAACTCAAAGGCCACCAAGATGATTCACAGGCCTGACCATCCCCCCGGTTACCAAGGTAAAAGTTCAAGGCTCTTCCTGGCCTAATGGGAAGAGAGGGCTTGATTTTGAACTTAAGAAGGGAGAGGGACCCTTGCTTGGCAGACTTGAAGGCCCTCAGAAACAGTCAGACAACATCCACCCCAGATAGCTCCTACTACCTATTTTTTGTCACTCCAGTCCCCTAGAAAGATGACATTAGGAGAAAGAACAATGCCACCTAGCAGTCCCAGAGCCAACTAGATGATGGAATGAGAGCTGGGGAGAGATCAGGAACCATATTTCACCATCTAGCTTGGGCCCTCTTCTCCACTCAGGTCCAGACTGCTTGGAGTGTTCCCTCTGCAGACCATGTGGGAAGAACTGACACCCTCCTAGAGTGAATTCGCTTCATGGAAACCTCCTAGGACTTAGAGGCAAGGCACAGACTCCCAAGTCAAGGTTGGTTGGCAGATTTGGGATCAGGGATTAGGCAAGCAAAGGGTGGAGTTGTAAAAGCACTGCCACTCTCCTCTCCCCAAAGTCCCCACCAAAATGGAAAGTCCTCAGAAGCATATTTTCTGGAGCCCCATCCCCCAGTGGCATTATCTTCTTTATGCCTGGCCCACAGAGTGCTCACCCCCTCTGACCGTCCAGTATTTGGGCACTGATTTGCCCAACATCAACCCAATGTGGGCTCCATCTTCATGGCCACTCCCACTCTCCCAAAGGCAACCACTTAGAACAGGAGTAACCAACCCTTGGCTCTGAGGGTGCCTGTGGCTGTTTAGAGCTCCAAGTGTGCCCCTTAAAGTGAGGAGAAGGAAGGAAAACAAATGCCATTACAAATTACTTTGTATTTTCAAATGCCATAAAAAGATCATTAAAAATAACAACTAAATTTCGTATGCAAATGAATAAATGGATGATGTAAACCTTTGTTAGTTCTATTAAGCATAATGAATGAATAACATTTTACAAAATAATGTATGAGAACTTTTTATCCATGATATTGGTGAATATCCATAACCTGCCTCTTGCTGCCTTCTCTTGATCCCCAGCCAAATCTCCCACCTGCTATGAACCTCTGTTCTGCTCCCCCAAATCCTCTTGAGGTAAACCTTCTCTCCTAAGTCCCTACCCAAGACCCACCACTCACACAGTCTATGTTCTCTGTCATATTCAGGATGATGTAGTTCTTTCCCGCCAGGTTGCTCCAGTCTTTGCAGATAACCTGGACATTGAAAGGGAGAGAAGTGAGGAGGTAGGGAGTAGAGTGACAACTAGCCTGGATGCAAGTGGTATGCGTCATGTAGGATGCCATTGCTAATGGAGTAGAAGCCTGCCTTCCCCTCCCACCCCCCCCCACCCCCCCACCAAATCATCAGCAAGCCATGAGGATCTCCCTAGAGGGTCTCTCAGAGTTGAAATTCCACTCTCTTCCTGACCCACCCCGACCCCTGGGCTGTCACTTAACTGATTTAAAAGATTTACTCCTACAAAATCAAAAGCTTTAGCTCCCCTGTAAGAGACCCAGTGGAGTGGCCAGTCTTTATGAACATTATTTTTTGTGTTATAGTTATATTATATTTTGTGCATATTATGCATGGTTATTGAGAGTTCCTTTATGGAATGTTAGCACATGGTATCAGAATCTCACTATTTCCCAGTCAGTAAGTCCCTTCATGTTACCTGAGCTGGGTCCCAGGATGTTCTGGTGGGTACCCCAGGAGCCTTCCCATCCTCAGCTTGAAGAGGAAGGTCTTGTTGCTCTGTGGCAGCAGCAGAGGAAGTGAGTTCTATTCCATTGAGGTCCAGGGTGGGAGAGGCAGAGATCCTGGTCTGGGAAGGACCCCCAAATGGTACATTTCTTTGAGTAGGTGACAGTGAAGGGGCCTCATCCCCTTGCTTGACCACTGGTCCTTTTGTTACCACTGTAGCCTCCTCATCTCTTCCCCCACGGACTTCTAACTCTGTAGCATGCCCCATATCTTGTTCTAACACTCCCACAGTCCCCTCTGCCTCCTGCTTGGTAAAGTCTTGGCTGCCCAAGGCCACTGTAGCTGGGATGATGGGAAGTGGGGATAAGCTTGGCTCCACGCTGCTCCCCACTTCCACACCCTGGTCCGCAGGATCTTCATGTCTGTTTCTGGGAGCCCCTGCTGCTGAGCCAGGTGGGGTAGTGCTGGTAGAAAAGGGGCCAGGGAGCTGAGATTGGGGTGTCTCCTGGGACCCATTCACTGGAAGCAATCCCTCCTCCTGTTCCTTTTTTGGTTCCCTTTCTTCCTCCTCCTCTTCTTCCTCCTCCTCTTCCTCCTCCTCCTCCTCCTCCTCCTCCTCCTCCTCCTCCTCTTCCTCTTCATCCAAATCCTCAGGAGGATTATGCCAGGGTGGCTCAGCCAGATTCATCGTGGGCAGGGGAGAGGAGAGGCTTGGAGATTCTTGGTCCTGGCTCTTGTCTTCTCCTGGTGCTACTTTCTGTGGTGAGAGTGGAAAGGTGTAGTCTGAAGATAGAGATAAAAGGTTAGCTCATTCATTCATGATTTATTTATCAACCATAATGTGCTACAAAAGAAATGTAAAAAAACATTGTTGGTGAATGGAGAAAAGACCAGCCAGAGTGGAGGGATCATTTTAAGGAATAATAGATGCTATATTTGGCCACATTTTTGACAATCAGACTAAATCTGGACTTTATCTCATAGGTGGTGAGGAACAACTCAAGGTTTTATGCATTAAAAAAAAAAACAAACCTCATCAGTCTTGCAATGGTATGTATGATGGATTAGAAGATTAAAAGTGGGACACGTGGACACTGAGAAATTAGCAAGGAGGCCGCTGCAATAATAGTGATAAAGTGATGAGAATCTAACTAAAGTGGAAAAAGTAGGGATGGACCGAAAGTGATCAGTCTGGGAGCTATTTTGAAGGAATGCTCCATACATCTTAGTAATTGACTGAAGGTAGGGGACAAATGAGAGAAAAGAGTCAAAAGATGACTCCAAGATTCAGAGGCCAGGTGACTAGGAGACTGGTTGGGGCCCTAATGTAAAATGAATGTTATAAGGGAGTGCTGATTTAAGTTAGATTATGAACTCAATTTTTGAGACACGTTGTCCCAAAAGTCCCATGAGTTTGAGGTAACAGTATAACATTCAAGAGGAGATATCATGTAGACATTTGGAGATGGGTTTTCAATATCTCCAGTTTCTCAAGTTCCTTATCAGGATAAGCCTGGGCAAGGCTACTACATGTGTCCTGGGATCATTCCCAAGAGGCTGTTCCTCAAAACCAATTAGGAGGCAGGAAGTCTCAAAGGCCAGAGTGGTTGTTGCTAGAAGGAGGCTACCAAACTTGAAGTTCTAAGACTCAAGTCACTGAATCTTCCTGGGCTTCAATAACTTCATTTGTAAAATTGAGAGGTTAGAGTAGATGGCCTCTAAGATCCCTACTAGCTCCTGGTCAAGAATTTAGCATCCTGGACATACTAAACTGTCAGTTCCTGAGACAGGAGCCATGACAATACCCATTCTACATACCATTTCCTGAAACTGTAAAAAGCAATAATGATCAGCCCCAAACTTCTCAATCTATCCTTCTATTGGTTAAGAGTAAATACTTGGACCCGTATACACCAAAATATTTATAACAGCACTTTCTGTGACAGTAAAGGACTAGAACAAAGTAGATGCCCATCAGTTGGGGAATGGCTAAATAAGCGACAGTTCCTGAACGAACGTTCTATTACTGTGCCATAAGAAACAATGAATATAGAGAAACATGGAAAGACATACGAGAACTGGTGTAATTCGAAGTAAACAGTCAAGATGACAATATACATAATGACTACAACATTGTACATAAATGGAAAGAACAACCACAAAACAACTGAAAGTGAATGTTATGAAATTACCAAGCACATGACCCCCAAAAAAGATAGAAGAAGACATCTTCCCCAGACTACTTTGTAGAAGCAGAAGCTCCACAAAAAGAACATGGCATAGACTTTGCAATTTTTTCAATGTATTAATTGGTTTTGCTGTTTGTCTTTTCTTCCTCTTTTTCTTTTTCCTTTTTCTTAAAAAAAGTCTTTGTTATATGAGAAGTTTCTTGGGGGAAGGAGAAGGAATTCCAGTGAAAATTTAAGTGATGTAAAAACCAAAGCTATCAATAAAAATTACTTTTTAAAAGAGCAAAGCTCCAGAACTCTATCCAAAGTGCTCACAGTGACTGGCTAGGTAATTTTAAAGAAGTCCCTGTGGCCAAATGCCTGGCAAAAGCCAGAAAGCATTTTCTGATTCCCTGCGAATAAGGAACCAAGAGGAACAGGGACGGAGTCAGGGCCCACTACAGTTTCCAGTAGACATGTGCATATGTTAAGAGTCTGCATGCAGTTGGGAAGTCTACCTGTGATGGTTACTCTGTTTTTGGTTTAATACTATGTTGTAGCTGCAAGAGTATGTGTGTGTGTGTGAGTGTGTGTGTGTGTGTGTTTGTGTATACATGTGTTTGTGCATGTGTGTGTATATGTGTGTATGTTTATATGTGTGTATGAGTTTCTGTGAGCACACCCACTGGAAGGGAGATATTAGTCAGTCAATCAACAAGCATTTATTAGGTGCCTACTATGTGCCAGGCACCATGCTAAGTGCTGTGGATACAAAGAAAGGCATAAGCCTAATCCTTGCCCTTAAGGTACTCACATTCCCATGCAGGGAGACAACACACAAATAATATACACAAGATATGTGCTGTGTAAATGGAAAGTGATAGAACACGAGTGAGACTGGGAGGAAGAATGGGACAGTCCTCCCCCAAAAGGTAAGATCTGAGCTGAGTCTTAAAGGAAGCCAGTAGTATGTCAGGAGGTCCGTATGAGGAACAGCACATAGGCCAGTGCAGCTGCACCATAGCATGCGTTGAGGAGAGTAAAGTATAAGACAACTGGAGAGGGAGAAGGGCCAGGGAGAGTGGGGCTTTAAACACCAAACCAAGGTTTTTTGGGTTTTTTTTTTTTTTTTGGCTTCTAGAGGTCGACAGTCATTTCTTGAAAGAGCACAGGGAGTGGCCAAAAACTCCCAGGAAGAATAGAGTGGAGTTGAGAGCTCCTATACTATCATAATCTTCTGACAATGATCCCGGGTAATCTAGACCGTAGCTACCCTTTTATGGGCTAACTGGTTTATGGGGCCTAGCCTCTCTTGATTTACTCACATCATTTCACTCAAGATCCTTTGCTGACATCAAAGAACACCTGACTAGGGATCAGCAGACTTGAGTTCTAGTTCTGAACCTATCTTTAATTCACCCTGATTAAGTCACTACCTTGCTGGGCCTCAGTTTCCTTAGCCGTAAAATGTAAGGACTGGACTAGTGTATCTTATCTGTAGAGGGGTACAGAAGTCTGTAACTGAGTGGTCTCTTTCTCTAAGAAGCCTACGGGCCAGCCTGTCTGCTCACCTTCTTTCTTTGGCCTCTTAGAAGAATGGAAGCTTCTGGGATACAATTTCAGCCCCTTGAGGACAAGAAGTGTTTCTCCTTCTTGTGCATTTGTGTGCCCAAGGCCCAGGCTAGCACCTTCCACTGTGAAGGCACTTAACACATGCTGCCAACATTGAACAGACTTGAACTGGCAGAAGTGTTAACAACTCTATTGGCCCCTCTGGGGCTCCAGAGTCACTGGCACACAGTGGGAGGTGGGGCAAGGTGTACAAATGGTGATTGCCACAGGCATAGTGAGAGCTGTAAGGAAGAAGCACATTCCAGTGCCTAGAGAGGAAAGCACTCCTCCTTTATCCATGATGTTGGGGCCCTAAGGCAAAGCTCTGATCACTTCTAGTTATGGCTCTGAGTATCACTATGTACAGATTAGAAATGTGATGAGACTGGAAAAATAGAGTCTACAGAGAGAGATTAAAAAGTTCATTTATTCATTTATCTACTCAACCATTTATTTATTTAAACATTTAATATTTTAATTAAGTATTTTATTTTAAATTTAATTAAATCCAAATATTTAATCATTAATTCATTTAACCATTAAGTAATCTTCTCCCTGAACCCTACTTCTTTCCAGCTGCAAGGTGGAAGGAATTACGACTGGGTGAGACTGATATAAGGAGAGAGACATCCTACTTCTTCAGACTTACTACTTCCCACTATTCCCCAACATGGCCCTTTACTTGAGCCAACTCAGGCTTAAATTTATACAATTATAATGATAATGATCCAATTCAGTTCAAAACAACGTTAAGAGCCCACAATGTACAAATCATTGTAATGGCAATAATAATTTCACCCTAACAAGACTCTAAGTTTCCAAAGTTGACCTGAATCAAGTCAGGACTCTGTCTCTGAGAAGAGAGAAGCTAGAGGAGGTAGTGTTGATTTTCTACTCTGAGCTCGGGGACCTTGGAAGCAAAGACAACTGGGAATGTTTTTCTAAAGTATTGCTGAAAACTTAGGAAGGGCCTCTTGAGTTGAGCTATGAGAATGAAGACCTAAGAAAGAGATTACTGTCTGCCTAAGTAGCAGAACTGAGAGTAGAACCCAGCAGTTCCCACTCAGTGTCAGAGAAGAAATAATTAAAAGAACTAGAGATGTCTAGCCTGGAGAGGAGATGACTAGGATGGGAGGGAATTTAGAGCTGATTTCAAAGGAAATCATCTGAAAGAGACAACAGACAGACTTTAAAAACTATAGTTTCAGTTTTGTTCTTTTCAGACACATACAACTAGCTATAAATTCTCTTGAAGATATTTTAAAGAAAAGTTAAACATTGGCTTAGAATATAAAAATCTTGGGCAAGATCCCTTTTGAAAAAAAAATTTTTTTAAACTGTACTACAGAGGTCAAAAATCTTCCCAGGACTATTTTGAGTAGACCTTTTTTTTAGGTTCACCCAACCAAAAACAAGACAAAACCAGACAAGATGGAGCTCAGTCACTTTATCTACACAGTCTCATTTTTCTTATGCATAAGAAGATCCAGTTACATTAAGTGATCTATAAAGTCTCTTTCTATAAAGTCTCTTTTAGCTTTAACATTCTTAGTCTATGACTGATTTTGTGTAACTCCTGAAGGCAAACTAAGATTCATGAGTGGAGGTTACCAAGAGACAGATTTCAACTCAGTACAAGAGAGAAATTTCTAACGATTTGAAAAGATGTTACATCTCTAGCTTTAAAGCTAAAAGGGCCCTCCAAGGACATCTAGTTCAATTTCCTCATTTTACATATGATGAAACTGACACCCAGGGAAGCAGGGACTTCCTGTCCAAGGTCATGATGGTATTGTAAACATTAGAGGGAGGTTTGGAATCCAGGATCTGACTCCAAAGCCAGTGTTCTTTCCATGGTACCATGAATTAGAATTGGCCAACAATAATATAAACCACCCAGAAAGGTAATGAGCTACCTGTCACTGGAAGTATTATGATCACATGTCATGAAGCCATAGAGCAGATCCTTATATTGTGTGGGAGTTTATACTAGATGTTCCCTAAGGTCCTTTACAACTCTGAGATTTTATGCAATGCTCAGGAAAAGAGAATGAGTGACTCAGAGAGAAAGACATGCAGATGAATACAAGCCTTCAGACACACAGCTATTAGTGTGTTCGAGCATGCACATACATATATGTCCTCATATATATGTGTGTATTGTGCACACATATGAAATCTATTTAAGACACTGAGGAAAGAAAGGAAGAAAAGCTTATGAGGTAAGAGGGGAAAAGGAGGAGAAACAAAAAGTAGGAAGAGATAGGCATTGAGAACTTTGCATAATCTAAGATAAAAATCCATCCCATTAACTTCTCAGAAGTAGGTCCCTGGGGGATGGGGGGTGGGGAGGGAAACAGGAAGCACAGATTCAACACTAGATTTTCCTCTTCTGGGGGGTCTTCAGAGTGGGCCTTCCATCTCAAGCTTAATAATAGCTCATTTATACAGCCATTTTATAGCCCATAACTGGTGTTCCTTTGAGGCAAGTAGTGCAAGTATTATTATCTTCATTTTCCAGGTGTCAAAACTGGCACCCAGAGAGGGAGTAAGACCCAGTCCCAGGTTTAGTAAACAGTCAATCCAGGATGCAAACGCTAATATTCTGACTCAGGCTCAATACTCTTACCAAATTGCCACTCTAGAATTTCAATAGCCTGAAATCTATAAGGAGTTCTTGCTAACCAAGCACATTTGCACAGCTGCTAGAACAAAGCTGAAGAACAGTGTGCTGTGTAATTTTTAAATCATTCACATGAACTGCTAGGTGCTCCAGCTCACCTTCACCAGATCTCAGAGTGTCTCTGGGAGGAGGGATTACGGCAGGCCTAGGGAAGGTATCCTCCATGACCACAGATAGCTGAAAGACTACTGAGAGCTAGCCAATTATGAAGTCCTGGAACAAGGTGGACCCTGGAACACAACCCAAACCTGTCAACCCAGTGCAGAATAAAATCCTGTACCCAAACTTACCCCACTTAAAGTAAGTGATCACATGCCAATCAATCAATTTCATAGGCCTTAGACTAAGTGTAGAAAAGTCCTTCAAACTGTAGTGATACAAGACTCATATTTGGATAGGTTGAGGAAATTTGGCCATGACTCAGGGTCATCTATAAATTATCAAACTAGTTAGAACCACATTCATTCAAGAAGCTGGAGTATCTGTGGCTTTTCAGCACATCCTTGAAGAGCAATGGTAGAACTGGCAAGGGTATTAGCTTTAAAGGCAGAAGACCCAGGCTGAGGGAAGTCCCCAGATAAGATTGGCTCTTTCCCCAACTTTTCCTTCTGCTGTCTGTTTATCCACAAACATTTTAATATAAGCTACTGCTTTGTTACCCAGATGTTTCCAGAAAACTGAACTTTGTCAACCACCAAGAAGCCATAGGCTAGTTAGAGATGGATATAAATGTAAAGTTAGGCCAGAGGCCAACCTCTGCCTAAATGTTAGGAAATTTCCTAACTGGGGGTTTGGAGGAATTGTGAATGAACTTAGAACTTTTCATCCAAAATAAATTTCCTACAGTGAAAAAGGATAGAATAAAGTGAACCTTAGGAGCCATTATATTGGTCCCTTAGAATTAAAATGAGTTAGGTATTGTAATACAGTAATATATAAGCTTTCCTATGTTTGCCCCTGTCACCACCTGAGTCTCAAAGGTAGATGAACAGGTTCACCTTTAGTGTGGACATGGACAGGAAGGACCTTTAAATAACTCTGACAGTAAAAATTTGGTGTGGGGGATGGGAGAGTGTGGATAATAACCTAAGGGGAGTAAGTCATCTGCACTCTTGTCTGGAACCATGCCATACATGTAGCTAGCACTCAATCAGCATTGTTGGTAACAAGTTACCTTCGGTGGGTCCCAGGTCCAAGGTGGAATCATTAAGCTCTCCCTCATCTTCCCAGAAATACTGTGGCGGCTGAAGAATCCTAGACTCTTCATTCTCTTCACTGGTGAAGCCTGAACCAGGGCCTCCCAACCCAACTCCTGGCCCGATGGCCTCACTTGGCTCAACTGAATCTACTGACTCTAGTCCACTTGGCAGCAGGAGATCCAACAGAGAGGTAGAAGTGAGCCCTTCAGGGCCAGGCTCTTCAAGCCCTATCACGCACATACCCAAGGACATACCTGTGCAAACACAAAAAGAAAAGAGGCCATAGGAGTTTGGAAGGGACAGAAGAGAGGAATCTGGACCGAAAAATCACTCAAGAGCACAAACTTTATACAAGTTTATTAATACCCTTATCAATTTAGTCTGTAGTGAACAAAATTTGGGGAGGGAGGTGGAGTGAGGTATGGAATAGGTTCACATACATGTATATGGGGGATGAGTTGAGGAGAGGCAGCAGGATGGCACATTTCAGTTGCAGGAAGAGGCTGGGCCTCCTTTTTCTCTCTAGGCAGGGCTGGGGAGTTCCTGACAAATGGCTGTTCAGCTCTTTTGGGGAGGGAGAGGGGGAGAGCATTTAAGGCCTAGGAAATAGTGCTAGTGTGTGGGGGAGGGTAAGGAGAAAATTAGTATTGAATCCCAGACTAACTCCATCCACAGTCATGTCTCCCCAAGTCTTTCTACTGATCAAGGATGTGACTAAATTGGTTACTTTTTAAAACTTGCTCTGTATTTTGGCTGCATAGTATCCTGAATATTTTCTTTAAAAAGAATTGTGGTACAAACTGATGAGTGGTTCTGAGATTCACTTTGCATTTTATTCAATGTAATATACAAATTAGTAAGGCCCCCCAAATTGTTCGCTTTTTCATTCCTCTTCAGAATGGAACTGCAAGTGTGCTTGTCTGTTTTATTCCATAAGTACCTCTTCCACTATTTGCAATCTTATGTAGGGCCCCTCACCCCTCTGTTCCTCAGTGTCCTCCTCTGTAAAAGGTGATGGCTGAAGACTGACTAGGAAGCTGATTGAAGGTGATGCCATAAGGGATCCCACCGGGTCTTTTACAAGAGGATGAGCTGTTTTCTTGTCTCCAAGCTACCTGACTTTTCTTTCCTGGGTAGAGCTGGTGCAAGCCAGAAGCTGGCCCTTCCCTTGAGCTCTCAATGTCAGGAATTCCAATCTTTTGTGAAAATTGACAAGGTTGGTCTCCCTCCCTTTGTTTACCTGTGGGAGGATGGGTATTCATCTTTGTAAAGAGCATCATGTCTTACACTCTCCATCTATTGTCTGTGTGTGAAGTCTACGTACGGGTCTCTGGGCTTAAGAAGCAAAAAATAGCTACCAAGAAACCCCTCCTCCTTCCTTGTCTTCAACGCATGAGGGACCTTTCAATTAACTATAATCCCCAGGCCAAGAGACCCAAAGAGATGACATAGGGTGGATGTCCTTGAGGCTGACAGGTCAGATTCAGAGAGCAGAATGTTTTCCTTGTCTGAGGATCAGCAAGGGCCAACTCCATTAGAATAACATTGCCAAGGGGTAGCTAGGTGGCGTAGTGGAGAGAGCACTGGCCCTGGAATCAGGAGGACTTGAGTTCAAATTTGGCCTCAGACACACAACACTCACTAGCTGTGTGACCCTGGGCAAGTCACTTAACCCCATTGACTAGCCAAAAAAAAAAAGAAAAAGAATAACATGAAGAAGCTGCTGACACTGTCAATTCTGTTGGAGTGAGGGATTATATTGAATGATGATTACTTTTGTCAGCTCCCTGAATTCCTAAGGAAAACCCAGCACACTATGGGATTGACTTACCTGGACTACCTGAGTAGGCTCCATAGCTATGGGGGTTGTGTAGAGTGGGTAAAACTCTGTCTCCTGGGTCGCCATTGCCCTTGAAGCAAGGGTGATGAACATAACGTGGGGAATGTGGTACAGTAAAAAGGGTCCTGTATTTGGAGGCAGAGGACCTGGGTTCAAATCCCAGCTCTGCTCCTTACTGTGTGTCCCTAGCCAGACAAGTCATTTAATTTCTTTGGTGCTCTCTTTTGTTTTGTCTTCTCATCTTTAAACTCAGAAGCCTAGACTAAATGATCTCTAAGGTCCTCTTCCAGCTATAAATCTACGGTTCTATGATAAATCTGGCAAAAGTGAAGAGACACAGAGTCCAAAAGAGCCTATGAACCTATAGGAATGCTCTTAGGAAACAAGTCCCAGACTTGGGAACAATAAGAAAACTTCCAGCTTTACGGTATAACTTTTACAGTTTGAATTTTCCTAAGTAGAAAGACAAATGTAAGAGTTGCTAAAAAGGCAGCCTACTTCCCATTAGACCTATGCTGTCTCACATAACTCATAATAACAACAGAGAGTTCAGTTCTTTTGCTTCCCCATATTTAGGCCCTTGCTGCTCAGGGGCAGGTGGGTGGGCACATGTATGATTCTCTTTTATCCAAGAGGCCAGTACTGCCCATGAAAACCCCTATGCCCATTCTCTCTCTAGAATTCTGGATCCCCAAATTCTTGAATTTGTCAAGGCTGACATTACCCAGAGGCTCCTCTCTTCTGTTGCTAAGAGGCAAAATCATGCTGCCCAGGAAATCTCCACTTCATCCAGAAGGCTGGAGTCCAGGAACTCTTGACGTTTTTCCAGATAATTTGGTTTGGGAACTCCTGGTACTCAGATCACATGGTTCCCCTCTCCATAGCGGCTATCTCTTAGGCTGAGAGGCTATTCCACTTCCTCTATTTATACCTAGGCTGAGTCTAGCTACTTGAAGGTCAGGCATTCTTGGCTGCATAGATTTGAACATACATGCAACTCCCACATGCTTCTGTCTCAGAAACAGTTGTTACCTAATCCTGGTGAGGTTATATGCGTGCACCGACTATCCACCCACCACTATCCCTCGCCACTCCCCGGGATTCAGGTTCACTTTTATCCATATTGCTTTCTCAGCAACTCCCCAGAAAAGGCAAGCCTCCAATCAATCAACTAACATGCATTTATTAAGCATCTGCTATGTACCAGCCACCGTGCTAGACTCTAGGCGCACAAATACAAATAATAAAACAATCTCTACTCTCAGAGAGATTGCGCTTTAATGGAGGAAGGGAAGTGAAGACTCCAGTTTAAGTCTGAGCCAACCAACTTATCCCCAATCACTCCACATTGAGTTAGAATGAGTCAAATGACTGTCTCTGCCCTTCACAGAGAAAAATTATCAAAGTCCCAATGAGCACAAGTGTTTGTTGTTGTTGTTGTTCAGTTGTTTTTCAGTTGAGTCTGACTCTTCACGACTCCATTCAGTTTTCTTGGCAGAGATACTGGGGTGGTTTGCCATTTCCTTCTCCAGCTTATTTTACAGATGAGGACACTGAGGCAAGTAGAGGTAAGTGACTTGCTCAGGATCACACAGCTAGTATCTGAGGCCAGATTTGAACTCAGGTATTCCTGACTCCAGGCCCAATGCCCTACAGCAGGAATCAGAACTAGAATATGTCTTAGGAAGATTAGACTTTCTTCTAAAGGAACTGTTTACCCCACCAGCATACATTAAGTGCTTACTATGTCCCAGGCACTGTACTTAGTGCCGGAGATGCAAAGAAAAAGCAAGAACAGTCCCTGCCCTCAAATAACTTATTGCTGACCAACCTCCCACCATATCTTCTTTGATTAAGTCTATAATTCTAGCCTGTTGAGATCAGAAAATTACAGACTCTTAGAGACAAAAGGGACCTCACTAGCAATCTAGCCCATTTCATCCCTGTACTGGTAGCACAGTGTACAGTGGGGGCCTAAATTTGGTGTTACACAAATTTTTATTTTATTAAAAGAATCCTCCTTATGAAACACCCTACAAGTGGTCATCCAGCAGTCCATTATAGTTTTGGAAAACCTGAATTGGAAGGAAGTTTTTGGGGACATCAAGTCTCACTTTGCTCCTGGCTCTGTCGTCTGCAGCCAGCCCGACCAAATCTAGCCCTGCTTCCACATGTGTTCAGATACTTGAACACAGCTATCACGTTTTCAGACTTTTCTTCTCCAGGCTAACCATTATCAGTTCCTTTAACCTATCCTCACAGGGTATGGACTTGAGGCCCTCGCACAACCCAATTGCTCTCCTCTGGATGCTACCCAGTTTATTTTTAGGGTCTTCTATGACTGTCACCCAATGTGTTATCTATTCCTTCCAGCTTTGTGGCATCTGTCTTCATCTAAATCATTGATAAAAATGTCAACCAGTTCAAAGACAAAGACAGATCTCTGGAGTGCTGCACTGGAGACATTTTTCCAAGCTGTTATCAAGGCATTAATGACTATTTTTTAAGGATGGCCATTCAACAAGGTCTGAATCCATCTAAACTAAGATGACCTAGCCTACATCTCTCCATCTTGTGCATAAGGATAGCATGAGAGACTGTAGGATATTTTGCTGAAACATAGGCACACTGTATCTATAGCATTCTCCTGATCTGGTTACATTTTTAAAAAATAATAAATAAGCTAGTGTGACTTGACTCATCACTTAATGATCACAGCTTTCATTTATAAATGGATAATAACAAATTATCTTTTTTAATAATGGACTCAACGTACAACCTATGTCAAATTGCTTACTTTCCCAACGGAGGGGGGAGGAGAGGAAAGGAGAGGATTTGAAACTTAAATTTTGAAAATAAAAGTTAAAATTGTTTTTACACATAATTGGGGAAAAAGAAAATATTAAAAGTAAATGAAAAATAAATAAAAGTAACTTAAAAATACACCCTAGAACCTTGTTAAGAATTGAAGTTTACCAGATTAATTCACAGACTCTACTCTCTTCCTTTTTTTGAACAGTGGGACACGGGTCCTTATCCAGACCTGCATCACTTCTCTCCTTCTTTCCAATCTCTCAAAGATCACTGCCAGTAGCTCAGCGACCAGTTTAGTTGGTTTTTTCACTACCCTACAATGTAGTTCTTCCATACTCCTTGATGGCAAGTAGATTCTCTCCTTGCTATCTCCTCCCTTAAACTGGCTTTCAATTCCCTGTTAATCATTCTTGTTTCATCCTTGTTAGTCCCCAGATCACTCTCGTTGGCAGAAAACCAGAAACAAGCCACGTTGAGCAGTCGTCACTTCTCACCCTTGTTTGCTCTCACTGTCGCTTGAGCAGTGTAGTGGGCTGCCTTCTGTTCCTTGCTTTGTTTCCCCAGCATGACTTTTTTTTAAAGTGCACTTCTTGTCATTCT